CAAGTCAGAGCCCTGCCATTACAGCGCCATTTTTAATTGACAATGACCTATTTTGAATTTCTGCATATGGTTTTCCAAGCACGAAGGCAAAGTTTCAAACAAATGTAAGTTGCCTGACTTCCTAGATGTCTTCCTACTCGCACACATGACAGAGACAGGACAATTCAACATGCTGGCTTTAGGGACTTATAAACTTTAAATTCAGCACTTATCACATCTTACTACTGATTGTCATGAAGGGTCCTAAAGAAATAGAGATCCTCTTCCTGTTCCTCCTTTCCCCCAAACTAACATTTCTACCCATCATTCAAATCCACTCAGAAAGAGTTGTATTACCAAATACTCAATAGAGAAGCATCCCAAACAACCTTGAGCATATCAGGAAATGCTACTATGCTGTGGATGATTGATCAAATAAAACACTGATTGGCCAGTAGCCAGGCAGGAAGTATAGGTGGGACTAACAGAGAGGAGAATTGAGAGAACAGGAAGGCGGAGAGGAGGAGACACCAGCCTGCCATCCAGGGAGCATATCATGTAAAGGCAGCAGGTAAAGCCACAGAACATGTGGCAACATACAGATTAACAGAAATGGGTTGAGTATAAGAGTAAGAAATAGACAATGGTAGGCTTGAGCTAATGGCCAAGCAGTTTAAATAATATAATCATCTGTATGTCTATTTTATAAGTGGGCTATGGGACTGCCGGGGATTGGCAGGACCCGGAGGAAAAAACTCTAGCTACACTACTAGTCACATGGTACAGAGTCTCCAGGACAGGAGGCCCGCTGCTGACAGTGAGGCAGCATACTAGCTGTCCTGGGGACCTCCTGCCTGCAAGTCTTTGATCACAGAAAGGGAAAGAAACTTGAGATGCCCTCAAGACCTTTCACATTGGATGGTGGGACATGCAGATGAGCAATTGGATTGTGGGACATGCAGATGAGCAGCAAGGCCATCTTCTGACCAGACTATGGAGGAGGACAAGGGTGAGATTTGATTTTCATGCAGTGGACTGCCAATTGGCTCAAGCATAAGACTCTCTCTTTAGCAAAGGACCTGTCTTCCAAGTGACAGTAGCTCTGCTGGTGTGGGAAACATATCAATAATAAAAATTACATAAAATTAGTATTTTAAATCTATTTGTATTGCATTCATTATAAAAACAGCTACATTCATGGGCATGGATGTACATTCATGGAGTCTCAGATTGACAGCAAAATTCATTTGGAAAGTAGAGTTCTTATATACCCCCATCGTACAAGCATAACTTACTCCACTGTCAGCATCTAGACATCCAGCACCACACCACAGAGGACCACCTGCCAAAGAACCTAAACTGAAGTGTCACATCACCAAAGCCAGAATCAACACTCCATTATTTCCTGGTGTCCATTCCACGTATTATGACAAAAGCTCTATACACCAGCACTTAGGCAGCACTGGCACCCATCATACAGAACAGTTTCACCACCTAACATCCTCTGGGCCCCACCCATGTATCTCTCCCTCTCCACAACCTGATGTGTTTACTGTCTCCACAGGTAATCCGTTCCAAAATGCCACATAGCTGGATTCACACAGTATGTAACCATTTCAAGTTGGCACCTTCTACCCAGCAATATGCATTCAAATTTCTTCTTTATTTTTTCCCTTGCAAATAAGAATACATTTTATTTTGATCAAATCCACCCTTCACTACCATCCTCCAAGTCCTGGATCCTTCCTCTCCTACCTTCATTCCTCTTTAAAAAACATACGTGTGTGCATGCATGCATGCTCCTGTGTGTGTGTGTGTGTGTGTGTGTGTGTGTGTGTGTGTCCGCGAGCGCGCACGCATGCTTGTATGTGCATGTAAAATATATGAAGTCAAATAAATGTTGTCTGCAGGAACATAGGTGTAGAGCTTTCCACTGTAGCATGGGCAACACATCCCTGAAACTGCTCCAAGGTTTAATCTAATCTCCCAGAACGACGGCCCCAGTCTTCTTAACCTTACACATGGCTTCAGCAATCAGATGTGTAAGAAAGGGCTCATTTACCCACGTCTGCTCCACAGTGCAGTACAAGGATGCATGGTTCCCATCAATATTTCACTGTGCCCACTTACAAACAGGAGTGACTTAGAGGATGCTTGTCTTGTCCTGGGCTATGAACTAGACACACTGATTTCGGTCATTCGGCTTATTTTGGATAACTTGTTTTGTAAGCACAGAAAGGCCTTATAATCATCGCAGTAAAATCTCCTGCCTCAAATCTAGGATGCTGACAGAAATAACTCAATTTATATTCTGAAATTTAATAGCTTTAAAATAAAATATTCCAGTCCAGAAATCAAATATTCAAACAAAAGAATTAGTGTTCTTCATACTACATGTTTAATTTATTCTTCATTTTATTTTTATTTTGTGTATGGGTGCATGCAGTGCCTGTGGAGGCCAGAAGAGGGTGAGATTTCCTAGAACTAGAGTTACAGGTGGTTGTGAGCCACCATGGGGGGGCTGGGAATAGAACTCAGGTCCTCTGGATGAGCAGCCAGTATTTTTAACCTCTGAGCCATCTCTCCAGCCCTCCACACTACCTGTTTTTTTTATATATGTTCCATGCTGTGTCTTTTGATTTCAGGCAACTCCTTGGATACAACACTCAGATTTTCTACTTTAATTAGAAACAACAATCCTAGCACTTCAAGGCTGAGACAGTAGGGCAGTGAGTTCTAGACCTCCTGGGGCTATACAGAGAGATGGTGCTATTTATAAATACATAAATGAAGGAATGATAGACTTTACTATCAAAGAATTAATTTTTTGTGTGGAGGTGTGTATATATACACACACACATACATATATATACATTGTATGCGCACATGGAGGCCAGAGATAACGACGGATCTTCCTCTATAGCTCTCCATCTTATCTTCTGAGATAGGGTTTCTCTCACTGAACCAGGTGCTCACCAATTGGCAGACTGACTAGCCAATGAGCTCCAAGGATCAGCCTGATTGCCTACTCACCATACCCAGCTCTTTTGCATAGGTGCTAGGTCTTTATACTTGACAGACAGGAACGTTACCAACTGAGCCATCTCCCTAGCCCAAAAGCAATTACTCTAATTGTAGTTTTTTTTTCCCTTTTCTTTCCAGATTTATCAAATAGATATCCCATAGCACACTGTTAACATTGGTTATCAGTGTTCTTCATATGATTCTATCATCATTTATATAATTATCAAATATTATACCATCCTAGGAGGTAGCAAGCACTAAAGAAATTCCCATCCTCCCCTAACAGCAGCCCTAACATGGAGACAAGACCATGAAAAAGTGAATGAAACGTGAAGATCGAGGCTGATAAGGATGGTGTTCAGCTGGAGCTGCAGCCAGCACTACAGCACCCACCTAGAACACATAAGGTCCCGGGTTCCACCCCCAACTCTGCAAAGGGAAAATAGACACGTTCCTAAATTTGGTATTTAAAATGAAAAATTTTTCTTGTAACTATTGCAAGATAAAATGAAATAATCTTGAATTAGGTCCTCAAAGGAAATGTGCATGCTCTACCATGGAATCACATCCCAGCCCAAATGCTCAAACTTCTAATAAAGAAGAAAAGTGTGGTATTTTTCTTAATCAAAAAATGCACTTCAGTAAGTCATACTAGTTAACTAGAAAAGAGAAAAAAAATGACAATGCTTCCACAGTACCAAGTAGATACAACAGAAGCCATCTAGTCACACAGCCAATTACAACAGTCAGGGGACAGCACAGTGCAGTCATTGTGGTGGCACTGACAATACTAGTCACCAGTCATGTGGTGGGGGAGCACTGGAAAGATACTTGCTGCCCCGTGTCAGCTGTGCTCTACACTTTACACATTTACGCTCATACAAGTATGTGGAAATGTTTATGTTTAGTGTACATGTAGCCACATGAACACACATACATGAACTACAAGCACTAGCAGTTACTTCCGTATGATACAGTTATGAATGACTATAATTCCCTCAGTATATGACCTTTCAATTCTTCTTCAATGAGCACAGACTGATGAACTTCTACGTCCACCCATGGGGGGAAGGAAGGACAGCATACTGTTCTTCCTAAAGCATGGACCCTCGTATCAAGCTAGTTATTTACAGGGTCATCAGGCAAATGACTGAACCAAGAGTAACACTACAGACAATACTTCAAATCGTCACCAAAACTGATAGATTAAAGTAAGTGAATTCAGAGAAGGCACTTTTTATACACTGCTGAGAGCTATGAGCTGTGAAAGCACGAAAGCCATTAACTTTCAAGTGTAGTTATCTCTACTTGAAACGGGGAAAGGCAAGATGACCCATTTTTCTGGTACTAACCATTGGGAGCTCACATTTCAGCATGGAGGTCAATGAAAATGTACACTGCCTTATTGTTCTAGTGAGATTCTTGATCAGGGGAAAAAATAACATTGCTTTTAAATAGGCAATGAGCATTGTGCTAATATCAAGATTTCCTTCTTTTTTTTAAAGAAGTGCTAAATACTCTTTATTTGATATTATACATAGACCACAATAAGTGCCTTTCAATGGTGAAAGGCAGCATCCTTTGACAGGGAATTCTAATTAAAATGACATCATCAAGTCAAGAATAGACAGTTGCTTCCTGGCGTTCCATTGCCTGTAACAGGCCAGTGAATACAAACTGAAACACAGGTGAGTCTTCTTGTATCTGAGAGAGTGACAGAATTTTCCCAGTGTTTAAACATATCCATATTCCCAGTTATATAAATTTAAATATAAAACCATTCAACAGGTTTGAGGTGACACCCCATCTTTGTGGAAAGTATAACTTTAGTAAGTCCAATCCGATCTTGAGAAAGGGAGAGCTGTGATAGTGACTGGAATTGTTATTTTTAAAAAAGATCATATCCACTTAAATCAGGACCGTCCCAACAGAAACACTGTTAGCCATTCATGATGTGAATTTTGATATATGAATTAAATTATGGTACACATTAAAAGCCATGAGACATTTGTTTTGTAATAAATAAGGCAGTGAAATTACTCACTAGTAGTCTTTTTAAGATAAGCTATTAGGTCTGCCCTTTCTCCCTTCTTCTTAATTCCAGCAAAGATCATTTTTGTTCCAGGGATGTACTTTTTGGGATTCTCCAAATACTCCATCAGGGTGTCCTCTCCCCAGGTGATGCCTTTGTTCTTGTTGGTATCTGTGTATGAGAATCCAGCGGCCTGACCAGTCTTCCTACCAAACAGACCATGGAGATTTGGTCCAGTCTTATGCTTGCCTCCCTTTTCCACAGTGTGGCACTGGGCACACTTCTGAACAAAAATCTTGCCTTTCTCAACATCACCCATTTTTATTTTGCTCCCGGGTGATCAACACCACGATTGCTACGACCCGAAGACGGACGTCCCGCTCACTATGATATCAAGATTTTCATCTGAATCACATTTGTGGTGAAGCTGAAAGCCACAGCCACCAGCACGGTTTCCCTCCTACATTCCCATGGCCTTCCTCACTGCAGGAGAACTCATGGGGCCGGAAAAGGAAACTTGTTGTCCTTTTCTGCCCAGACATACACCAGCTGCAGAAAGTATTACCTTCAGCCACAGCACCTTACTGCCACCTGGCTTCAGTCACAACCTGGTTCTGCCCTTTCTAAGCTCCACGGAACCTCATCACTCCATGAACCCATGCTCCGGGCTTGTTGCTCTTCTGTCGGTCTCCTGTCTTGGGAGACAGGTGGTACTTTTTATGCTGGGTCAGCACTCAGTACTTGGTGGACTCGCTGGACTTCCCTTCCCATGATCCTCTTTTCCTCACTGTTTGCATCTGTCTGTCTGCTGCTGCTGCTCTGACCTTTCACAAACCCGATGATAGGAAACCTAACTAGAAACTGGCACTTAGAATTCAATTTTTAAAGAATGAGTACAGTTTGGCAAGACAGAGCACAAACACACCTCTCTCGGCATACAGCACATTAGGAGAGCAGTAACTATCTACCTTGCCTCTCACACACTTTGCTCTGAAACACCAGATACTAGAGAACTAGGTCACTGCCGACACTGCCTGCCTCCTCCACCTCAGAGGAGAATGGGTTAAAGCAGCTGCACAGAAAGTCTCTCATCCGGGGAAAGTAACTGCAGAGTGGGTGATGGAGGAACGGCTCAGCAGTTAGGAGCATGGACTGTTCTTACAGAAGACCAAGGTTGGTTCCTAGTGCCCATGTCAAGTGGCTCACAAACACCTGTCACTCCAGTTCCAGGGACATCTGATACCTCTGGTCTCCCTGGGCATGGGTGGACAGTCATGCTCATCACACACACACACACACACACACACACACACACACACACACAGAGAGTTAAAAATGAAGTAAATCTCTAAAGCTGTGAAATACAAAGGCATTTAGTCCAGCTACAGGAAGTGAACAACTTTTCTAACAAGGAAAATCATAATTTTTTTTTCAAAAATTTGGTGATGAGATCTTTACTTCACCCTACAAGGTCAAGTTTTCGGAGCCCAGGTCTTCTCGGGGCAATGTTCCCAGCCATTTGAGCACCAAAGGCTGCACCCCAGCACGGGCTGCTACCCGGGCAGAAATGGTCACCGAGTAACTCTACTGGGAGGAACCCCTTGTGCTGAGCTTCAGAACAAGAGGAGTGAGCAAGCTGAGGCGACACAGCTCAGCGGGCATGACAAGGGTGTGCACCAGGGTAATCTGGGGATCATTTCCGGTTCTTGACAAACAAAGATATCTTAGGTATGTTTCAAAAGGTGGTTTTGATTCCTGAGATAACTGATGTGTCACAGGAGACACACAATGACTATTAGCACCTGCCAGTGTCTTCAGAAATGTTAACTTTTAAAAACTGACCAAATAATATCACACGCACAGATATCAGATAACTGTACTTACTTCATATACAATGGGCATCTTATAAAAAGATGTTCATGTTTTAAAGATTAAAACCCTCAATGGTGACAATGTACTGCACAAAGCCACCTGAGGTCCTTTCTTCACACACTTCTCAGGCTTTGCAGAAGCTGCATATCATTTCTTAAGTATGTGTCTGCAGGGAGTAACATAAACTAAGAGAACACATTCTTTATCTCCATGGATAAACCCCAGTTCTGGTTCCACCTGAAAGACATTTCCTTATTCATCCCAAGCTATGCACAAACCAGAGTCAGCAATTTCCAAACCCTGCTCTCAGCCTAGAGGCCTGCTTGGGCTGGCTGCGGCCCAGCTGCTGAGATCTCGCTCTACAAGGTGACCGCCCAGCAAAGCACCTTCTCGCCTGGAAAGTCCCCACACAGGGCTTGAACTCATTTTGAAACCAGAGACAGCACTTCCTCCTATCATTCATCTGGGCCAGCATATACGAAAGAGGAGTTTTTCAGAAAGCCACAGGACAGAAAGCTGTCTCTCCTAGGACAGCCGCAGTACCGTTGCAGGCAAGTGTAAGTATGGGTGGGTGGAGGGGGCTGGGGAGCAGCTAAGCAAGGGTTTACAAAAGTTAAAAGGTAACAACAAAGGTCTCCATCCCTCTTCACGACTTTAGCAATATCCAATCATGTACCACCCTTTCCCACAATTCCTCTCTGCCTAGAGAGAAAGAGCAGCTTGAGTGTGCACACTGGTACATAAGTGTATAGCTAGAGAAATAGGAAAGACACATTCATGGAGAAAGACATACAGGCACCCCAGTTATATTTTACCTATAAACATAGCATATCTGTTTGTATATACATACCATACACACACAAAGTAAAGACAAAAATAAAAAAAAATAAGTCCGATGTGGATTCACAACATGGGTAATCCCAACACTTTTAAAAGTGAGGCAGGTGGATCACAAATGTGAGTCAGTTCGAGGGTAGGCTAGGCTACGGAGTGCAACCTTTCTCAAAATGTATTTATTATTTACTTCTAAAAAAAAAAAAAAAGAAAAGAAGTTATAAATTTGAAGTGGACACTTACTGGAGGAGAGAAACCAAAGACAGAAGCTGGCTCCTTTAGCAGTATTTTGTTTTCTAGATTATATTTTGGAACCACATAAGTATCTTAAAGAATTATAAAATACGAATTTAAAATGATTTCTTGAAAAGAAAAACATCATTATGTGTTAAATTGTAACATAAACAGAAGGAGGGGCAGGTAACAGGAGAATATTAAAATACATTAGTAAGTGAGTCAACGCATCATTCCAGGCCTCACTAGTAACAAACTGTTCTCTGGAGAAAAAGATCCAGCTATAAGATCAGAAGTTGGGGGAAGAGAGGGGTGGCAGAGGTAGACAGGACCCCAACAAGCTTAGAAACAACGGCAACCAGGAGCAATGCACCAGCAGCCTGGCTGCCAGCTCCACCTGCCAGCTCCACAGACAGCTTTAATCTTCCCGATGCCCACAAGCGGCAGACTTCAAAGCCCTCCTCATTCCCAAGCGAGAGCATCAGTGCTTAGCATGTAGCATGCAGACAGTGGATGCAAAGGGGAAAGCTGAAGCCTCACCATGGTTTGCTCTTTCTAGGGTGGTAGATGAAGAACACCTTAGCATTCAGCAGGTAGTGTGGTCCATGGAAGGAAGGAAAGGCTGAGTCCCAGGCTGAGCCTACTGACCCAGCCTACAACATAGCATCTACTAAGCCCAGCAAACTCAAGTTCAAGCACTCTTGTGGTGAAAACAAACCTTCTGACTTTCCTCCCTCATTTAATGTTACAAACCAATTCATCAAATTCCAACTCTATAAGAGACATCTAAAAGAAGCAAAATGTCACAAAAGAAACAATCCCTCAGCAAAATAAAAATTACTATAGTCCCAAATAATGCACTCTAGAAAAATAAAGCTTATTTATTAAAACAACTCAACTTTGCCAGGGAAAAATAAGTTTCTTGGTTAGGAATCCACTAATTGAAAATCTGTAAATAACTTCAACTTCCTTGTAAGTCATCCATTTACCTTTCCTTTTCTACCCACCCATAAAAAGCATGCATCATCAGAGGCAGCAGACTGAGAAACACCTTCTTTGCTACTTGTGATGCCTGTTATAAATAATGGGAGACAGAAGCATTCAGGACATTAGATTTCAAAAATGAAATCATTCATTCAAACAAGCGAAGGATTGTGGCAGAATTACCATCAGGATGAGCTATGGCAGAAAGCTCAAAACCCCACACTCTTACCCCGAGCTCTGAAACACCCAGCAGCCAAAGCTGAAACAGAGAAAGAGCTGATATGGGGGTGCACACGATGATCCATTTCAGAGAATGAGAAGTAGGCTGGATGCCAACGTGAGGGTGTGGACCAGCATGACCTTTCACCTTAAGGAGAAGCAAGGACTCCATGATAAATTCATTAAATTTCTACATTCTAAAAAGATCTCTACATTTCAACACCTGATTCAGTAGTACTCATGCTATTGAATACCCTGAGACTAAAATAGACGTGATGACCATTATTAACTAGGCTGAGAGAATAAATCACCTCCCACACACACACCTACACCTTCACTCATGGCTAGCCTGCTCCTCTGGATACCTGGAGCTGTTAAGACTACAATCTAAAGTCGCACAACACAATGAACAGTTTCTACATTTTACATTACTAACACATATCAAAATGTATTGAGCAGCCACCATGCTCACTACATAACGCTCAAAATTCATCTCTTCTCAATCCTAAATGATCCTGTGACCCCTAAGAGACAAGGTCCTTTATTTAAGCACAGTTTCCTCTTTTTATCTAAAATGTTAGCTGGGGAAGACTTCCAGAATATGCTGTGTTCATGAACACCACTAAGGGGCCCTCCCATAGTCAGCCTCATACTCTGCTATGGCCCATTTGCTCTATCCTGGAATCCCCTGGTTCCTAAAACTCAGGATCTTCAAAGAAGGCTGAAGAACTGGATAAAGTGGAGATGCCTAGCTAAGGGAAAGTCTAGAAATGTCTATGGGCAAAACATTGTTAGAGAAATTGTTCCAAACTGTGTAAATGCAGCCTAACTGCTAAACACTGGGAGATCGGAATCAAGCACAGGGTTATTTAAGATCTCTGGGTTGGTCCAGAACTAGATGCTGCTCAGTGCTCACCTGTGAAAGGAAGAGGCCACTGCTGGAAGTGGACACATGCCATGAGCCCCACTCCAGACTGATGGGGAAACTGATGGTGTTTGCTGAGTAACAGTTCTACCCTTGTGGCTGTGGGCACTGGAACAAGTTAACAGACTACCTAGGACCCTTCTAAATCTATCTCCCAGCACACTGAGGACTGCCAGATCAGCACCTGTGACAGCACCCATCACGGAGCTTGTCATAAAGCATTCAGTTACATCAGTTTCTTCCATGTCCCCAAGGATGCCTTTCAAGAAACACTATTGTACCTGCTGGTAAAGGGTGCA